GTTCAGGGCCTGCACTTGGGCTGAGTATCTATGCACATGTGTGGCAGAACCCATCAGTGGTGAGGGTGGGGGTGTCCACTCGCTCAGGCTCCCTCTCCAATCAACAGAATGAAGGTGGGCAAACAGTGGGCACACCAATGACTAGATACCCAAAAAAAGAAGAAAGAAAGAAGAAAGGGAGGGAGGGAGGAAGGAAGGAAGGAAGAAAGAGAGAAAGAAAATCAGAACAAAGCAAAACTGAAAAAGTGTATTGTCCACCTTTGCCCCAAGGTTCCCGTGGTGTATGTCCGTGGTGTTTCTGCTTCCCCTGCTTGGTCTTGCCATTTGGTCTTGCCCAAGATGTTGGCTTCCAGCCTCTAAGCCCAGCCCAGCAGTTCAGAAGTACTTGATTTTTTTACTTCAGCTCTAATTTCCACAAGCTATAAGCCTTCAAACTTTTAAAATATTCCTATCTCTGTGGTTCCAAGTTTTGGAGCTCTGCCCTGGATCTGCTTTGCCTTGTATTCTGTGTTATTACTGATGGCGAACTTCACTGCACCTCCACCCTAGCCGCCATCGAGCCTAATTCCATTTTTCCAGGAACTTTTTTAAAACCCCCTCATGTATTGGGAGTTAGAGGATGCTGATCTAGCATAAGATATCAGGGAGAATCCTACTCTTTAAAAAAAAACAAAAAAACTTTATTATGGAGACTCCTACTTTAATCTAAAACCTGAAAGAAGATACCTAGAGGAGAAAATAAAGAAACATGTATGAAAGGCCCCAGATAAGGAGTCAGTGTTCACACAGGGGAATCTCAAGAGCAAAGGGGCAAAAAGACTCAAAAGAAAGAGGATGTTGGAGTGGGCAGGAGACGAACCTCAGAGCCTTGTGGACCAGACTTCTGCAGCTGGTTGAAGAAGATCAAATCATGTATGCTGCCAGGTCCCTCTAGCTCTATATTTTAAGTTGATTTGGGCTGGGAACTGAAAACAAAATGGGACCACGCACTCCTGCTATGTTGCCTGCTGGCAGGTACGGACTTGCATCTTACCAAAGAAGTGGGTCGTCCAATGTTTTCTGTATTGAAACTCCAGATGCTGCCAGATCCACTTATGGTAGGAAGGCGAGTCTCCAAGGTCTATCAGTCGTAAGACTTCACAGCTGCCCTGCCATGTCAAGGTACACAAACAAGAGAGTTAATCCTGAAGGCTCCAGGGTTCTAGGCTTTGAAGATAACCTCTCTTTATTACATCTTACCCAAATTATTTTACTTGCTTAATGACAGAGACTCTTTTTTTTTTTTTTTTTTACTATTATTGCCAAAATATTATCTACTCATTATTAAAAAACCAAATAGCTAAAGAAAACCAAACCCATTGCAATCAGTTTGGATCTGACTCATAGTCAGAACCTGTAGGCTGTGGGGTTTGATGCATTAGTCTTTTTGGTTGGCAGCCAAGTGCTTAACCAATGCAGCACCAGAGCTCCTTGCTAAAGAAGCATAAGAACCAAATATCATTCTGTCACTGGAAGAAAAAAAAAAGCACCATTGAGTATATTATTGGGAAATGGGTGAAATTGACTTTGTACTATAGATCATATATATTTTGTTGAGGTTAAATTCCCTGATTTTGATAATTATTCTGTGGCTAATTTCAGATCTTAGAAAATTGCTTTAAAAGAAGGATTACATACATGACTGTTGCTTTTGTTGATAAATACCTTTTGAGTTGGCTCATAGTGAGCACGTAGTCAGGTTTCCAAGGAGTGGCTGGTGGGTTTGAACCATCAACCTTATCCTACAATACCACACCAGGATTTACATGCTATATATGATAAAATAGTGTGAGAGCTGAAGATTGTTTATATAATTGTAGCATAACCTAGTTTATCCTAGCATAAACCCATGCTGAATATCTCATTGGGATTTATTCCTAGAGGTATGCATGTTTTAACTTTTGATATATAGTGCCAAACTGCCATCTCCTGAAGTGTATTATAACAGATCCTGTTATAATATGGGGGATTTCAAAAAATGCATGGACAAAATGTAGAAAGACTATGGAATTTTTTCACAAAGTTTTTGAAGCCCACTGGTTCTTACTTGCCAACTCTGGGTTTCATAATTCTTTCAATCTTTGCTAATGTGACAGGCAAGGAAGATACATCATATTTCCTTTTGATTTCATATCTTAATAAAATTGAACCTTTTTTAGGGAAAGCTCTAAATGCTGTAGGATGAGGTCTGCAGTTCAAATCTACCAGATACTCCATAGGAGAAAGATGAAGTTTTCTATATCCATAAAGATTTACACCCTCAAAAACCCCATCAGGGTCACTATGAGTCAGAATCTATTCAATAGCAGTAGTGGTTGTATGCTGTGGAGTCAGTTCAGACTCATAGCAACCCTGCATAGGGTTTCCAAGGCTTAAATCTTTACGGGAGCAGAAAGCTTCACCTTTCTCCTGTAGAACAGCTGGAAGTTTCCAACTGCTGACCTTGAGGTTTGCAGGCCAACTCAGTCGATTTGATGGCAATGGTTTTTCTGGTTCTAAGAAACCCATTAAGGAGCCCAGTGGCACTGTAGGATAAACACTGTACTGCTAATCACATGGTCTGCTGTTGAAACCCCCAGCCACTCTATGAGAGAAAGATGAGACTTTCTGCTCCCATAAAGACTTGCAGCCGCAGGAGCCCTCAGAAATTTACAGCCTCAGAAACATAGGGCTGCTATGAGTCAGAATCAGGTGGATGGCAGTGGGTAAAGAAACACTAGTGGGTTAGAGATGAAGACAGATTACTGCAGAAGAGGAAGGAGAAGAAGGGAGAAGGGAAGAGAATGAACATTTAATAAGCCCTTCTTGCGTGCCAGGCATTGTGCTTGGGTCAACATTCACTCAACAAACATTTATTTATCAACTAGGAACTATGGCAGGTGCTAGAGGAATGCTTGAAGTTTCTTCTTGAAGAGTCTCACTGGTCTTTAGTTGCATCTGTATCTGTAAAGAGAACAGTTTTACCATGTGCCCCCAAATGGTAAACTGTTTAAAATGAATTAAGAACATAACTACTTATGTTTGTGATGTCAGCAGGAAATAATTTTTTCAAACTTTTGGGGTCCTGAGAAGGCCCCCAAAGCAACCCTGATGGTGCTGTGGTTAAGCGCTCAGCGGTGAAACAGAAGGTGGCTGTTTGAACCAACCAACCTCTGTGGGAGAAAGAGGTGGCAGGATGCTTCCATAAAGCTTTACAGCCTTGAAACCCACCTGGGGCAGATCTAGTCTGTCCAATACAGTTGCCGTGAGTCGGAATCAACTCTACAGCAGTCAGTTTTGGGTTTTGCTAAGGTGGTTCAAACCCACCAGAGAGAAAGATGAGGCGGTCCACTCCCGTAAAGATTCACCATCTCCGAATTCATACCGAGCACTTCTACTCTTTTCTACAGGGCCGCTATGGTAAGGACGCCCCACCTGTTGCTAATTTTGCCCTCTGGTAGCGTAGTGGTTAAGAATCGGGCTGCAAACCTTAAGGTCAGCAGTTCGAAACTACCAGCTGTTCTAAGGGAGAAAGATGAGACTTTCTGCTCCCGTGAAGATGTACAGCCTCAGAAACCCTGTACAAGGCCGGTTCTGACTCCACGGCACATAACCACCACCACTAGTCTTAATACGAGTGAACTACAGAAGTCGGGACAGACTGGCCTCAGTTCTAGGCAGGAAATAAAAATGAAACCAAGAGAGCAGTCCTTTTAGAGAAGACAAGTGCTTTTCAGCTCCAGTCAGGAGGGACTATGCCAAAATGCAAACTGAGTGGCCTGATCTTCCGAATAGCCAAAAGAAGCCAGAAATCTGAATTTGTATGTAAAATGTTTGCATTAAACTATTAAATCAGGGAAAACCAAACCCATCAAAAGGTTGTCATTGTTAAGTGCCCTCGCGTAGGTTCCCACTCACAGCAACCTCATATAAGATTTCTGAGGAGCGGCAGTGGAGCTTGAATCGCCGATGTTGCGGTTCAAACCAACCTTGCAGCCCAGGGCATTACGGGCAGTTGGCTAAGGCCTATTACCAGCTGCAACTTTGTATATCTTGTGATTTGTGTGTGTGTTTCATTTGTATCTTGTTTGTTGTTTTGTTTTGTTTTCTCAGAAAGATGTCCAAGCACTTTTACATAAGACTCACTAGGGAAATTTCTTCAAACGCAGATTTTGGAGCTACAGAATCAGAATCTCCAGGGTAAACTGGTCTGCCGAATTCTGGAGGACTTGTTAAAACAAATACTTGAGCCTGGCTCCCAGAGTTTTGAATCTAATAGGGTACAATGTGCCTAAAAATCTGCATTTTTGAATGAGTTGCCAAAAGTGATGTGAATACAGAGTTTTATAATGTGGTCATATCTCTTACAATTTAAAGGTTATATCTTTTATTTTCTAAAGTGACTTGGCATCAGTAAGATTCAAGTGCCAAATACACAATTTAAATCTGCTTTTGTATGTAAATAAAGATGGATCTGAGCACCTGGAGAAGGTACAGCTTGGGCCTATTTCTAATCAAAGATGAGTCCAAAGTTATCCGCAATCCGGTTATATTAAAACACCCGTATACACCCACCGCTGATGGCAGCATGAGCGTGCACATGAAAATGATTCTGTCCAATAGATGAGTGACAGTGGATTATGTGGCAAATCATTTTCCAATCAGCCATGACTCAGCCTATGAAATAATCCATGACAGACCTGGGTTTCAAAAAGTTTGTGTGACATGAGTACTGAAACAACTTACGGACGAGCGTAAACAGAAGCATTTGGACATCTGCGAACAAAATTTGGACTGATACTCAATGGAAAGTAAAAGTTTCTTTAAAAAAAAAAAAAAAAATTGTTACTGGAGATCACACGTGGATTCATCACTATGAGCCTGAGAGTAAATGGCAGAGTATGGAATGGAAACATCCTCAATCGCCAATCAAGAGAAAGTTCAGAAGTCATCCATCAGATGGAAAATTGATGCTTACAGTTTTCTAGAATCCTCAAGGGCCAGTATTGGAATACTGTCAGGAAAAAGGTCCAACAATTAACAATGCTCATTACAGTGAGATGAACACTGAAGGCTAACTTTAGATTAAACATAAAGGACTGCTATCCAAGGGAGTTGTGATCTTGCCTGACAGTGCACGTCCACATACTTATGCCCACACTGTTGACATTCTACAAAAAGTTTGTTTTGAAGTGTTAAAGCATCCTCCCTATAGTCCTGATCTTGCTCCACTGGACTTTCACCTGTTTAGTCCCCTGTGAATAGCCCGTCGAGAATGAAGATTCATCTCTGATAAAGAAGTGAAGACAGCTGTGCATTCATGGCTCGCAGCTCAGCCTAAAACATTTTTAAATAAGGGAATACGAAAGGTTGTTGACAGATGGGCAAAGTGTATTGAAAAGCAAGGAAATTATGTTGAAATGATGTATTTGTCTTTTCTAAGAGTTCATTAAAATAAATTCTACAGCCAGAGTGTGGATAATTTTGGATTCACCCTCATATAATGACTACATATGTTAAAATTCATAACAGCCCTCTGAAAGAGGCAGACCAAAGTGTATAATTTGTTCTTTCTAGTGTCAAAAATAATAAAACATCAAAGAAACTAAAATCAGGTTTATTCTAAGCAGTTAGTCTATATGCATATAAGGCGATCACTTTGATTCCAGAAAAAGCCATTGGCTCAAAGTCAGAATGAGACTTATACAGAGAAGATGGAGGAAGAAAAATAAAAAATCAAAGACTGGTCAGTCTCAAACAGTATTGATTTAATTCTGCCCTCCCCTTTTTAGAGAGCCCTGGTGATACAGTAGGTTATGTACCAGGTTGCTAACCACAACATCAGCAGTTCAAAGCCATCAGCCGCTCTGCAAGAGAGAGATATGACAGTCGGCTTCTGTAAAGACTTACAATCTTGGAAACCCTGTTGCTGGTAGGTGCTATTGAATGAACTCTGACTCATAACAACCCTGTGTACAACAAAACGAAACACTACCTGGTCCTGTACCATTCTCACAAGGGTTACGTTTGAGCCCATTGTTACAGCCACCGTGCCAATCCATCTCATTGGTGATTATCCTCTTGTTTGATGACCATTCACTTTATCAA